GTGTTATTTTGAAACCGTATACCAGGGTTTGGGGTATTTAGAGCAAGCGGATTACCACCGGGGACAAAAGCGCTCCACCACCGCAGCAATGAGCCACACAGCACCGCTGCATGCTAATCTGGCCCCTATTGAAAAGAGGTCAGCAGTGCAACTGAGCCAGGTTCGTGAACAAAAGAAAGTTACATAACACCGCACAATCTGGGCTCTTTTTACACGGCTGCAGGCCTGGCTGAAATACTCAAGCGTCAATGAAGGTCACCTGTCAACTTAGAGTAGTGCCTAAAGATTACTTGGTGCGGCTATAAACGTCCGTTAAATGAAATGATGAATTTTTGAAGAATTTTGAAAGCGGAAAAATTGATAATTATGCCGGCCCAGCATCCTCAACATTCAAAAATGCCCCGGCATGAAGTGGTTAAGTCCCTGCTGTAACAACTCAAACCAGTAAGGAGGCAAAAGCCTTATTGACCACTGAACTCAAATTATTCTGAGAACAACCCACTCTGGCATACTCACATCCATCTCTGAAGAGCCAAAGTAGGCATCGGAGGAGATAGACTTGGCATTGGCAAACCTCTTCTGGGCCTCCGTGGAGCTGGAGACGGCTTCGTATTGCTTCTTCTTGCCCGACGGCATACTGAAGGACAAAAGCCAAAGGGGTTACTCGTGACAAATCCTTGGAACTAATTGAAAACATACACAGCCTTAGCTCTGACAGATAACTTGTGGATGGCCCAATCATTGACCAAAAATGGTGACTGCAGTTTTGGATTTGGAGGGGCGGGGTACAATTCTGTTAGCAACTAGATGCATCGGCTGACCATCAACATGTTGCATATTACCTCCTGTGAACATCGCACGAATGTTGATGCGAGCATTGTACATTTTGTGAACAATGCCTTAACAACCAACCATCTGGTTTTCCATCATTCTGAGGAAATGCTGTAGCCAGGATTCTCGGGAGGTTTGCAAATACTGCATCTGTACGTCACAGAGAAGGGGCCCAAATATTTCTGTTATTCTTCTTGTCTTAGTTTCAAATTTCCAGTGACGAACAAACTGGGTGGGGTGACAGTTGGTTACAAAGTGGGCGTGTCCCCTCTTCCCACACCCCCTCCATCTCTATTCCTTACCGGTCTGCCAGAGGCTTGATACTATCATAGCTGTCAGCATCTTTAGGCTTGTCCAGTATGTCCCAGTCATCCTTTTCAATATCATCGTCTCTGTCCTTACGACTGCTGAAAATGTCGTCTTTGTTTCTGTTTGAGAAAAATGTGGGGTTTTTTCTTAGACTGAGAAGCAACTATACCAATGCTACATACCAAATAAAAATTCCCTCCTCTGTTTACACTGAGGCACAAGTACATTTTGAGGCAAAAGCTGTTGGCAACTAAGGGTGAACTTTCTCTAAACATTGACAGCTCATACAAAATGGTCAGCAGAGAAATCATCAATTTCTTCCTTTCAGTTTGCATGCTCTAGGAAGAGGTAACGAGACCCAGAGAAAAGAATACACTTTTCACCCTTGTAAAAATTGATTTTAAAAAAAAATGGATGGCCTTCAGCTGCCCCCCCCCCCTTGTATGCCCGTTGCACCTTGCTCCCCGGTCAGCCGGGTTAAGGGTATTTGTGTGAACCCTACAGGTCTGCATTTTCACCTTGAGGAATAGCTAGACGATCGGGTGTCCTCGTAATCGTCGAAGAAATCTCTGCTGGATGATCTCTGGGACTTGGCCGCCGACGGCTTCTCCTGCTTGATGGTTTGCATGTCACTCATGGCCGAGTGGGAAACAGCGCTGCGGGGGAGATAGTGAGCAAAGGTCTTGTCAAAACCTACACATCTTCTGATGATAATGGCCACTCACGATCATATAGCAGCAGGTGTCGGTCAATGAAGCTAGTAGTATTTGTTTCAGATTTTCATACATTTCCAAATCAACATTCTCAACTGAATGATTCTCGAAGACGGAGTACAGATCAATTTAAACACCCAGTGCCCAAAAGTTAGTTTATATACTATCATGCCAAGGGTGGATCCAGAACCAAATTTTAGGGAGTGCCAATCATTATCATGGGGGGGTGCCAATTTGGAAGTTTTTTAATACAACCTTTAAAAGCATGGAGCTGCATTTTTTAATTTTTCACGACTTTTTACCCACATCTGGAAGGAGAAATTGACCCAAAAAATGCTATTCTCTCGTTATTAATAAAAATATTAAGCTCTACTTTTGTGAGGGTGGGTTCCGGGCTGAATTGGGGCCACGGCCCGTTCCCCCCCTCGATCCGCCCTTGAAATAAGCCAATTTGAGCTGACTTTTCATCTCACCTGCGCCCCCCAAATCCCATCCCTAATCTCTCCATCTGCTCTGCTTTCTTGGGGTCTGCATTCTTCATCCTCTCTTCCTGCTTCTTGAGTTCAACGGTCATGTCCTGGTAGGCCAGCCGCATGGAGGCCCTGAGCAGAACAAGGAAACATTGTAATATCGATTGTCAAACAAACAAGCCTACTGAGCGTAGTAAGACTGAACAGGTCAACTGTCCCCGAGGCCAAACAGTCTCCGGGTCCAAGACTGCCAGCCACCACAAGGATCCTTCAGTGGCACTGTGTAGCGGAAATAAATGTCTGATCCATCAAGCCCTTCCCTATGTGTTCTGACCAGCCCAAACAGTAATAAATATATCTGAGGTGCAGCCACTTCAGTCCAACATGCATGACACACATGCATATGTGTGGTTAGCACTGATATGTGTAATGTGGCAATGGAGAGAAAGAAGTGTCAACTGCTCAATTGAAGCAAGATTCCACAGATACACCTGTTGCCCTTTGTTGCATTCTGCAAGGGTATATAAAGTGAAAAACAGCACACTTCAAAGATTTCTGTATAACATAGCAAGCGACCAACTGACCGACCGACTGACCGATCGAAATCTGAAGGACAATGTTTCGCCATCCTCAGATGGAGACAACTCACATATTTGCCGCTTCCTCCTCCTTGGTCTTCTTTTGTCTGTTGGCCGTCTCCTGTTTCATCAGGTCAGCCTGGTGAGCTGCCGACTCGATGTCGGCAAAGTTGGTCGTCACCTTCTGGGCTCCCAGCTTGCCTTTCTTGGCTCCCAGCTGATGAGTGAATACAGAGAATGAATACAGTTTCACAAATGCATTGTACATCAGGCTAATATCCCGGCAAGTAACCCCATCGACAAGAATGGAAAAGTGGCTTGTGACTTCAAAGTGACGGCAAAGACACTGACAGTGTCGGCAACAGGCCCTCACATCACATTTTGGCTTCAGTACTTTCTAACATCTGCTTTGTAAGCCACTACATACCTACTTATTTAAGTCAACCACATCTTTCATCAATAGCAGTTCAACCTACTCAACGACAGAGAAACCCGGTGTAAATCTTGATGGCCTGATGCATAATTTTCCTCTGATCTTTTTCTGTTATACAAAATGTGCTACAAACTGGCCAGAACAATTGGAAACTCTTCTACATAAGGGATGTTGAAATGCAAAAAAACTGTAAATAACAAAAGGGTTTCTTTGAGGTGTTCTGAAGGCCGACACCGAATTGAAGTGGAACAACACATGGCTGACTTTTCAAGTACTTGGCCCAAGTTAACTTCTTCAAACACCACAAAAGTTTTTGGAAGATGGAATGCACTCCACAACAAATCATGTTGAAAGATTTTGCTAAATGCATCTCCTATACACATTACCAAAAGTAAGGGGGTAATAAAAACATGAAGGGTTTTTAAAGCATTAAGGACTTGAGCTCAAGAATGAAAGTTCAACAGAAATGATCTGCCAAATGTAAACAGAATTCTTCAGACCTGCCAGACACTCCATCAGAACAAAAGAATCTTCCCTTACCCCTTTCTTTGCACCCATCGGCTTGCGTTGGCCAATAGTTGACTTCCTTGGTTCTGCCTTGGCCAATGACTGGGATGGAGAGGTGCCTAGTACATGGTCTACGCTTGGCTCTCTTGTGTCTCCTAGACATTGCGAGAGGGCATCAAAGAGGCTACAGGTGCATTCTTTATCAGGTGCATCAATATCAAAAATGGTGACAACAAATACTAGGGGACCAGTGTTCTAGCCAAGGTGGGCGGCGCTGGGTGGCACCCATCTAGTGCTGCACATTTCCACCCGGCTCTTGGGCTCTTGGCTGTGCCGCCCAGCACAAATTTTCCAAAATATGAACTCAAATATTACTGAACATCATGCAGAGATGCCAACTTGTACGATTTAGGCATAATTTTTTACAGTTTAGTCCATTTGCAACTGTACGATCAAGACTAAGATTTTTACAATTTCCAACGTGAAGGTACAAACAATTCAGTTGTGTATAAACTCTATGTAAGCTACCAGTAGCACAGAGCCGGCCTCGTAATGCGCATGTCAGAAATGTGTCGCTGGCATCCCGCACTATGTACATACAAACGGCATGAGCAGAGGTAGAAACCAGCGTGATTGAATTATCCATTTGCCCCGATTGACGCGCTATGATGAATAGGGGGCGAATAGGAATGATCCCAACAAGATTGTGTACGTCCATATGCATTGTACATGTACCGATATTGGACACACATGTGTCGAACATCAGGATCGTGCTGAAGTTGACCAAAGTGGAGGACTGTCAAGGATTTGATTCTTGGATATTTTGCGAGCAACTGGATTTGTTTTGCACCGTGGCAACAAGTGAACAGAAGTTAAGGGACGAATACACCACAAACATGGGCCTTTATTGCAAAGTCTTGTTGTGGAGAAGCTTCTGTGTTTTGCAATGCATGTAACTGTGACATGATAAATATTGCCCACACTGGATCTTACGACACCGAGAAGCACATTTGTTAGGCCAAGAAAAAAATAGCTCTGCTGCCGATTAAAAAGGGTCGGTAGGTAAGGATTTTTTGACAGTTTTTTTGTACTGATTGAATGGGACGAAAGTTGCCAAGAATTGCCCCAAAAGTGATTAAAATAAAAACCTACCAGAATTAATTTGGAAATATATTCAACAATTAATTAAAATTCACACTTGCACAATGCTAGTCAGGTAAATACAAGTGTTTACATGTGAAAAGAAGTTGTTGACAAGTGTTTGTTTTGAGAGAAAAGACGACAAGATTTGTTGAAACTTTTTTTTCTTCTAATTTGCCAACGAAAATTCTTAGGGTTGAGCTGAAAAATTAGGGTCGGTCAGGAAACCAGAACTGAAAGTGCAATAGGATTACACCTTTTCATTTTGAAAATTTGGCATCTCTGATTAAATGTACCAATTTGATCATACTGTATTTCAAGCATCAAAAAGCATTGAGAACTGCGCTCACTACGATTCACAATCCAAAAATTTACCCGGCACTAAAATGGTCCTAGCTAGAACACTGTAGGGGACACACTCTGGTCACACGATATAGAATTTCTGTTGGGTAAAAACCTATTTCTTCCCTCAAAACAGTGTATGTGTGTCGCTCTCTCTGATTTAGATGAAAACAGAATTACAATTTGCATGCTGTAAGACCAGGCAACGAACAACTGTTTGCTTGTTACCTGGTCTCTGCCATTCATCACTCCTCAAGCATTTTTATAAATGACAGTGCTACATTACTTATTTGTTACGTTTGGGAAAAAAAAGCTCGCTCACTCACTCACTCACTAACAAGATACTCCACATCCAGCAGAAAGCTTGAAAAAAAAATCTACATCATGTGACAACAGCTAAATGTACGGAAACATTTAAGGGCCACTTGCAAATATTTTTTTCAGTTACTATCTCGCCACGGCGAGTGAAATTGTTGAATGTGTAACTCGCTGCGGCGAGTTATAAGATCTTGCCACGGCGTCGAATCGATATCCTGCCGCAGCGAATATTTAAACTATTATAGTTTCATAAGTCCTATTCAGCGCACTGTTTTCAAATGTATCTTTAGGGTGAAATGTGGTGAGGTTTGGTGTTTAGATTGCTAAATGGAACATAAGGGGATGTTACATTTCAACACAATGGAAAAATACCGAAATCTTATTTTGTGGTGTGAATGTCCACATTCAGAGGAGGGGTAGACCGTTTTTAATTCCTTCCTCCATGTTCCAAATGCTAAACAGAAGCAAGCACACTTGAAAGTTACATTTGAACTTTCATCAGTCAAAATTTATTAATATATAGCACTTAAAATGGAGATCAAAAACAATACTTTTACACACGCAACGCATGAAATACCTCACAGCTTTGGATGCTCAAAGCATTTTAGTACATTAATCCCCAAATATAGTATAAGTGCACACGTGCCATGTGCACCGGCGTGGGCCAGAAGTATCAACCATGTTCAGATGTTAAAATAAACTCCATTCAATAAACTATGTTATGTTTCGCCCTTCCCAGCACCTTGCACTGTATGGGTAGTTTGTGACCAGTGAACGTACGGAGGTGACGTCAAAGAGCCTGTGGATTTCAATCCAGTTGATAAAGAGTGTAGTTCCCTTTCACCTTTACTTCATTTTTCGTTTTGCTTTTTGCCTGTTGAAAACTCCCACATCACAGCAAATTTTAATGCTACAATGATCAGTGATGAAACTCAAAATTTCCCAAATATCATGAAATCCTAAAACACCTACGGCGTGGGGTCTAGGGCCCGTTTGGCCCCGGGAAATTTTGGGTTCTAGATGCTCTGTGGTGCAATCTGAGGCCTTTTCTGGCACATTTTCCTAGAATAGTAGGTGTATTGTTCCTTACCTCGCGTATTTTGCTATGTTTCTTTGACTTGGCGTGGTTTTTCAAGTCCTTCTTACCGGAAGAGCTGTACTTGAGTCTGTCATTGCACCATGAACAAATTGCATATCCTGGCTGGTCTATTTTCCGGACGTAATCCAATAAAATATCTCTTTTGCAATCCTTCCCCTCCAACCATTTCCAACTAAAGACATTTCTGATACGGTATTTTTGTCAACGTCCGTTATATTGTGTGACCGATCTACCACTTTGTACATGTTGCAGATTACTTCGCTTGACAGTTTGACATGACACGCGGCTCAAAACAGAACATATCAGACGAGTAGCAATGCGCATGAGAGATCCAGCTTCTAGTCTTCGTTCAAGGCATTATTCTACCCAAAATGGAAGAGGGCCTTCTTTATATGCGCGCGTTAAGTTGTGTCCGTGGGTGATATCTGTAGATGGATCTGTTCTATAGACTACTCATGTCAGCTCGTTCTACTCGCAATTTTTACATGACACGGAACAAGATTTAGGCTAGCTATAAACATGTATTTTCATGGAACGGAAAATCAATGAAAATCCGGGAAACACATTTCTGCCGTGCCGATATCTGGTTTTCTGGATAAATCCGGGTAAATTTTTTAACTGACTGATATCAACACTGAGGTTTGGTCCAAAATGGCAACACACATTAGCTAAACATCTGCATGGGTGTCGCCGGAATTTGGGGGAGGCAAGGGAGAGGGGGCAAATAAGAAAAAGTTAAAACAATAACTGTGGCAGGAGGGATCATTTTCTTTTTTTTCTCAAGCAAATAATTATGTTCTATTTCACTTCTAATTTTCATTTCTTTGGCTGTTTTCTTTTTTTCAGCAACTCCCAGCAGCGAGCACTCAATGATTTAACTCCCTGCACTGAGATAGTGACTCACCGCGGCGAGATAGTAACTCAAACAAAATTTTTTGCAAGTGGCCCTTATATGCTTCTGTTGGAATGAGCTGAAACTTTGACAAAACATATCACTAAAAAGTAAGACGTATTGTTTGTAAATTTTTTCAAATTCAATCACTTTGGTGACAGCTCTCAGGACACTATCTCACAAGATATTAGGGCCATAATGGCTTGATACATGTACAAAACCTCATCATACAAAGACAAGATCAATCTACCTTGACCCCAACTCTTCAGCCTACTTTGGCTAGAAACCCTGCCAGACATATCAGTTTGTATCATTTATCAAACTGCCTTGCCTGCCCAGCGTAACACGATCTAACAGATTAACTCTCACCATGGCCAAACAGCCTGGGGGTCTGTGGTTGCCAGTCACCACAAGATCCAACAGTGGCATTGTTCAACGGGACGGGCTCCCATTGTCTCAACAATTGCTGTTGATTGCCAAGTGCATCAAAGTGCATCAGACCTTTTCACCTGCTGCACTGTGCTGCGTCTGACAGGGTTAGGGTTAATCCTAAAACTGGCTGTACTTTCTACCAAGTTCCACTGAGAGCTAATCCTCCATACTCAAAAAGCCACGCCAAACATATTACACTATTACATCATGCCACTGCAAACAGCACACTGACACAAAAACCAAGAAAATGCAAGTACATATGCGATTACCTTCACTCGGTGCATTCTGTCCATTCTTGATGGGCACAGGTTGAACTTTAACCTCTTCCTCCGGAGGGGAGGAGCTCAGGTTCATGGCTTGTTGCTGGGGGAGGTTCGACGATGGCATCAAGTCCTTGTGATCCCCTGAGTGTTCTTTGAAGAAATCTACCTCTTTCTGCTCTGGTGAGCTCACGTGTAGATCACCGATGTGGAGAGTCTGCAAAGTAGGAATAAATGACTTATTTTCACACAATGACATTTTGAAAAACTTAACGCAAACTGTCCACCACCTGCAGTGACCTCAAATAAGTTAACTGTGCACAAACTGTTTCAGTCCAGTCCTAGCTTTCTCAGGAGTGCACTTGGCTGCAATTGAAAAGCCAACACATTGAACAACGAGTCATATATATTATCTACCAAGACACAGCCCTCTCTGTCCAATCTTAATGTCAGCACTTTGTGTTTAATAAGGATGTTACAGGAGTGAACTCTAAGACCTACATGTATCTATGGAGATAAACAGCAACAGTTAGGAAAATACACACAGAAATACACAAACACGTACAGTACATGTACATGGACATTATAACTAATGAAGCTGACATGAGGACAAAAACACAACTCTTGACCCTAACTCCACCAACAAATCCTACCAATAAGGAAATATACTAATCCCTTCCAGACCCCGCAATCCAGCCATCACTAATTTGAAAACTTGGGGCCTGATGTCTCTGTCTGAATTTTACAGTACAGACAATGTGACGCTGGTTTACTGTTTACAAATTTAAGTTGACAACTCTGAGGGCACTTTTGCTAGGAATCAGCCTGAATCCTTCAAATCCTTCAGGGTGCACCCTTGCAAAAAGGCCCAAAATATGTCCGCCGAGCTCATTAATAAAAGATATACACTCAAAATATTCTATATTAGAGAGTCCTGAGAGCCATGAAATTGAGGAATTGGAGAAATATGGCACTGAACACCTGGCCCAGACTTTGGGCTTCAAATTCTGAGCAATTTGGATCCAGTCGGGTCCGAAAGTGGCACTATTTCGCCGTTTTGCAGAGGGATGGTTTTTCAAAATGGCTACTGTTCTGGGCAAGGACATTTTCTTCATTTTAGGGGTGGTCTGCTTCTGGTGAAAATTTCTCAAAAATTCATTGGTCAATCCCCCCAAAATTGAAAGGAAAACGAAAGGGGACATGTCGATCATCGTGTTTCTGTGCAGCCTGAACACCTGTGAGAGTTGTAATTTTAAAATAATTGCGAAGTATGGGGATTCATCATTGATGTCTATGGCAATTAATTTGCAGTGGTGCACCCTTCACTGTGCAGGCAAATTATTCATACAGCACAGGTCAGAATTTTAGCCGACACGCTAACACAATCAGTGAACCTGACACGCTGTTCAATGCACACTTGGCGATTTTTACCGTGCATTGCTGGCCCAATGCACGATAAGCCTGACCCTGGACCTCATTATCTCGGCAGGGCTTGTGACCGCAGACCACAAAGGTGACCGACAACATGCAGTGTACCACTGCACACGCAGAGCCGTCGCTCCAGCTTCGTGTATGTACATGTACAAACTATGTACACTGCATGGCAGTGCACTGAATAAGTGAAATCACATACGTGTAGTGCTTGGCTGGCAAGATGACCTTCTTGAAGTATCGAAATATGTATCACTATCACAGCTGTTTTCTTTTGGTTTTGGATCGCGAAAGTTGTTCACTCGGATTACATCTGGAATAATGTCAAATTTCAGTGAAACTGGCCAGTAGTCCACCATGTGTGTTTAGATACTACAAAACCTTTTCCCAAATGTAAGCTTTGACTTTTAAACTCACGGGATCGACTGAAATGCAGTGACGACGCTTTTCTGGCTGGTTTTAATGCTCGATTGGTTTTTTCACAAATAAACAGTAACCACGAAAGAAATCCATTCCTCAGTCAGAATTATTATCGGTATAACAAGCTGATTTTACAATGAAGTATTTCTTATTTTATGGAAATTTCATTCATGTATCAGAATTTCAGTAAATTAAAAAAAAACAACCGAACTTGCGTAAATTTCACTTGACTATTTCATTTGCTGCCATGCCACATGTGCCACGACCGTTGACCATGCCGCGACCACGCCAAGACCACACACTCAAGAAACTACAACCACCCCAGCAATTTCATCCCAACCACTAATCATAAATCAAAACAAGTATTGCATATTCATTTTGATACAGTGCCAACAAATGCAAAACAACAGCCCTTACACGTCACACTACATGCATATTTATGGGCGCTACTTTGTCCGTTGTGTGCATTTGGTGCATGTACGTCGCTAGCCTAGTGCTAGTCCTAATATTGTCACAATCAGAGCAATTTTTTTAAGTAGGTTTTCCAGCTCAAAGGTCGAAAACTGATGGGAAAAATTCCCAACTCACATTGAATTTATATTCACGGGATTTTGAACACACTGAGCTTGAGTGTGTATGCCACCGTGGGGGGCCGTCTTGACTAAAGTTTGGCTAGCAGACCGGCGAGGTCAAACCCCATTTATATTTTGTGGATTTCTTACAAAACAGTTTTCTCTAATTCAGGAAATGTTTTGTCATAAAAACTGCTAGTTATAATCGTCTTGGTTGGAAAAATGGATTTCACGCTCGAATATTTTCTGTGCCTGATTCAGAAGTTTTGGGAGCATTTCAGACATGGACCACAAGTGTTGTCTGCATGGCACTATCATCAATCCTGTATGGCCAACCAAAACGCTTTTTCTTCGAAAATGATTTTGTGATGTCTGCTACATACAAGGTGACTACTGACAACATTTCCCTGGCATTTGAAAATAACTTGAGCTGCAGTCAAACTGAATAATTTTCATTGTGGGAAACTAGGAAAATGACTGCTCCGGTCAACAAAGCCCTGGCTGTTCTGGGGTCTGCGTGTAGAGTGTGCATGTTTATACTACGCAGATCGGATTGGGGTGGCGGCATTCTCTGTTATGCAGGGTTCAGCGTGTTTCGTGTTTGCGGTTAACTCCTTTTGTGTCTGTTTGACTCAATATATGCTGACACGCTAAGCGTGTGTGCGTGTCGGCTAAAATTCTGACCTGTACAGAATCTCAACTTTCAAGGAGTATCAAGCAACAGTACAAGTAACAGTGGCTGGGCACTACCCTCCTCGATCCTATCACATCTTTCCAAACCTTTAGATGGATTTCGAAGGATTTGGCTGAGCTGATTACAGAATAAACCAAACATTAGAAATGTTACAGCTGACAATCACCAGTTGGATCATGGCTGTTTAATCTGATATTACAGGCGGCCAGGTTTACCTCTGTGCCGTACTTCCTCATGGCAGCAGCGGCCAACGACTTGATCTTCTCCCTGTAAAGCTGGGCTGCTCTGCTGTTGTACTTCTTGTTGGCATCTGTGGTTGAGGTGCCATGCTGCCTGAAAAACACCGTCTGAAATAGGGCACAGAAATGAGCCGAGTCTAGCAGGACTTTGAAGATTGCAATGACGCCAGCATACTTTTCTCCTTTCAATACACACATTATTGTACCGTTTTATGGAAACGTTTATTTTAATGAGAAAAGGACCCTTTTCTGTCGAAAGAAACAGCTGGCAAATGCCTGGGCTATTTAAATCCCCAATATGGCATTTATAGAGTTCAATAACTGATAGAATTATACCGAGCGCTATCTACTCTGTACAAAAAAGGAAATGTCACTCTGGAGCTTTTGTATATTATCTCCTGCTTTTGGAAATACAAGAGAAAAAAGATACAAGCTCAATTGATTTTCAAACCATTTAAATTGACGTGCCATTCCTCCCATTCACATCAGCAAAAATGTCAAAAGGTACCTGACAAAATAGTAATTTCCAGATCAATGTCAAACGGCACTTCATGTTAAACAGTTCCATAGTTTGCTAGTGTCTTTTGATTCCTAGCTACTTACTGCATTTGCGTTGCCACCGACTTGCATTGCTCGTATCTGGGGCCATGTCCAGGCATCTAACTGAGTGGATCTACATGTACAGTCAACCCAAAAAATGGACATTGGTATGTCAGCCACTTCATGAACAATCCTAAATCTTAAGATTGAAAAAAAATGCTTACTCTAACAAGTCACTTTTTATGGTCTAATGTAACTTTTAAGGTATTTACTATTTTAGGTTACTATTTTAAGTCTTAGAAAAACTGACAAAAATTATGAAATTTTAGTCATCAGTGATTACTCATAGTTTAATTTGATGTGTGGCATTCTTGAACAGAAAAAAACAAATTGGGGAAATGAAATTTTTAAAAAGCAACCACGTATCAAAGTGAAGGGTAACCAAAGTTATGAGGTTATACATAACCTTTCAAGAACCAGAACTTTAACTGTCCTTGTGCCTGCATGTACACCATTTATGGCAGTGACACATAAAATCCAATCTTGCTTTACAGGGTAAGAACCCATTTCAAGGTCTGTACCGTATGAAGCTGAGATGGACACCGAGCGAGCGGTGAACGGCTGAGCAGTCAATGCATAGAAAGACACCGTAGGTCACGCTGGCCCAGGTGGAATTCTTGCTGTTGCAGTCAAAGCAGCACTGTAAGAAAGTACCAGAAGTAGTGGTGTTCATTTATCAGTAGTTAAGGAACTGGGTAACCAATTACCATAACAGGCAGGTACCCGTGTTCATCACTCAAATTAGAACCAAACCCCCAAAGTAACATTTTTTCAACCGCTTCCCTGTGTATGTTACAGCTGAGCAGTGCAACGTTTTTGAGGGGTAAATTCTGAGGATTTGATTCGGAGTACGACAATGTACAAGCAACTTGGAGTGAAATCGATTAATTAAGGGAAGGGAAAGCCTGTGAAGGGTACACAGATTCTACTAATCACTCGACCAAGTCCAAATGTTAAAACGGGCAATTTGTACAGCCCAAATTCAAAGGTAGGTATGTTGCAATGCATGGGATTCACGGCCGCCACTTTCTTCCGCATGCGTTTCTGGCTGATTGTAGTAAAATGTAGATTATGTTCTTCCCAAAACTTAAAGACATTAAGCATTAACATGGGCACATGATGGGAAATGTCACTATAAACATGGCATGCATTGGCCGAACATGATAATAAGTTGAATGTGAATGTGATGAATGCAATCATGATTACAAACAGATAAATATTCATCATATTCACTACATGTATGTACACACAATTAGGGGGAGTCCAGGACTTTTCAGGTGTTGTTTTTTTGTACACAAGTTTTATTTTCATCAATGTATTTGAACCACATGGAGTCTTGTTCCTCATCGGTTCCACTTCCAGATATGGACAAAGAGCTTTAGTTAAGTCACAGAGAAAGTGTAAAGTAAACAATATCTTTTATTATGGAGAACTTTATCAATAATAAACACAAGATACATGTACATGTATACAGTAACAGGACAGTTGACTTGGGCTTGAAATTTTTAGTGATGTGTGAAAGATCACTGAAGCATAGTTTTCAATAAATAGCTACAAAAATAAGGGACCAAGTCTGTCAGGTGTCATTTGGAGTCTGTTCGTGTGTTTGACAAGGTCTTTTGATAACATTTGATTGAAACAACATATGTGGTTTATGCACTTGTTATTTGCATCTTGCCCCCCCGAGCACCATCCATCAATCTGATGCACATGCATACACCATATGTGCACAGTTGCGCAACAGCACTCGAATACAAAAGGGCTGTTCGGCACCAGTGTGACATCGATTTTTGACAAAAAAACAACTTCCATTTTCTTCCTGAAATTCTAAACTTCCAAATAAACACCATATGTTTCATCAACTCCTTATAATGTTTTGGGGGATTTTCAACAGAAAAATGCAAATTTCTGTTACCCTTTTATAGTCTTCACAAACCAAAACAAGGCTTGACATAGACCCGTAAACAAAATCCGGACGAAAACTCCTCCGTCGTATACTGGGCCCTGTCCCCATTCATAGGGATTTCTTTCGAAAAAGATATCCGGGAGCATAACTAAACATCCCCTTGATTTTATGAGCTGAAATTGCACCGGTATATTCACTACTTACGGTATAAACTATCCGCAAGGTTGTTAATTGTAGAAAACGCGCCTTTTCTTCATTTGAGGGAAAAAATTTGCCTTTTTTTGCCGTTTTCCCACTCCAGACGAAGTTTGTCCCACTTGCACAAAAGCGACGGCTGTTTTGTCACTTTCGTGTTACAGAGAGCGAGTCGCACTACCAATGATTTGCCAAAAACAGTGTGTGACTGGACATATTAGCTACGACACAAAACAGCTGTAATTTTCCATGAGTACTTAGATCGACAGGTACTCTCGCAGATCTGAATGAGATCCGTAGGTGCTGAAGTCTGGGTGCAAACTAGACAGGCTCTCAAACAGGGGACTATTACTTAAACATACAAAGGAGTCTGTGTAATGTACAAGTCAGGCGAAAATTTGTATCGAGTGGGAAAATGGCAAAAAAAGCAACATTTTTTCCTCCAAACGCAGAAAAAGCAAGTTTTCTACTTTAGCTTTAAATTAGCAACCTAGCGGATAGTTTAACTCGTAAGTAGTGAACATACCGGTGCAATTTCAGCTCATAAAATTAAGCGGATGTTTAGGTATGCCCCCGGATGTTCCGGATAAAGTTTTCCAAAGAAATCCCTATTATTTGGGGCACGGCCCAGTATATAATGGAGGAGTATTCGTTGGGCCCTGTTTACGGGTCTAGGCTTGACGGTGCTTTAGTCAAATGCCTCGAGTCATACATCAAATGTATTTTAAGCTCTACAAGGTGATTACATCATCGTTCCAAATCCGGTTGAGTCTCACGAGATATTAGGCTTAGACGAGACTATGTCACACGACATAAACAAAGATGGCCGCACACAGTTGTTGCCACAGTGTAAGTGCAGTGGCCCAGATCTTACATTATTTTCATCATACTTTAAACCCCAGACTCGACACAAACAGACATATCACAAATTTCGGTTCTTCTACAATACAAGTGCTTTTCCAAATATAGAATATGATGCACAAAAAGGGCAGAAATCATTGATTGAAAATGCTTCCAGATATAAAATTTAGAGGTGCCGTTTCGCTGGACTCCCAACATAAAAGGCTACAACTGAACGCGGACTGAGCAATATGTTCAAAGAGTAGGCCTGCAATGACTGCTCAATTTCTTTTCCCTTTTGTGTTCAGTTTTGAAATACCTCCAAAAATCACAGACAGAACTTACAAGACACAAAAAACTAAACTGAATACACTCATAAAATTACCTTATTGGTTGGGATTGAATGAAGGCGTTTGAAAACAGCATGGCAATCGTTCTTACTAACTTCAGCCATCTTGTTGCAATGCTGACATATGACTCTTCTTGCAGCTTGCTGACGTACGCAGGCTGTTGCGCTTTAAACAGCATTGTTGGGCGATCTACGAAATAGTAATAGCTGCTGTTTTGTGCTCGACACCAACCTCGTAGCCAATATCCACGTAAAAAATAGCAGCATAATATACAGCGCCACCAACCGTTGTACTTTTTTTCTTTTCAAACAAGGCGGGTCTTTTTTTCTATATATGAGCCAGTGGAACCATCATCTTACAAAACAATAAATAAAGTCCAGTCTTGTCTATTTAAGACGTCAACGTTTATTTACCATTTATCTGTGATGTTGGCTTAAATTGCTGCCTTGGACTTCCGTCAGATTAGATTCGCAATACATTGACTTGAGACTTAACATGGAAAAAGACTTGTAAGCTATAGGTTAATGTGGGGAATGACTTGAGACGACTTTTTTGTGGAAAAAAATGAAATTAAATTTTTAATTAATGAAAAGAATTTACTGAAACAAATGCATCTATGACTTTTTGTGTGCAAAAGTAAACCTACCTGTTTTCATTATAGGTCCTACTGAAATAGCTTCAGAACTGACATAGCACACAATGGATACAAATAATGAGACAGACTGGAAAGATCTGTTTTATAGATCATTGTAAGGAAATGCATCGTGTCAATTACGAGGTCAGATTGAAAAAAAAATGACTCGGGACGTGACTAGAGACAAATAAATCGCGGTGGTGAGAACAGACAGTCCATGCATCCATTGAACAATGTGACACAAAAGTACATGTCATTGTCTATCGACTGCTATCTTACTAGTGTCTTCACAATGTAATCTTGAAAGTTAACCTCACTGAAGCGGAACAAAAACTCCGCTCTGCTGTAACGGCCAAACATTTTGCTGAAGCGATCGATTGATTTGTAGGCCCAGCTCATTCGGCCCAGTTTAGTAAACGACACTCGCCTGGCGACCGCGACCTGACGATCTCGAGAACAAACTGGCATTCGTGTGATGAAAGGAGCCCAGAAATTGCACGGACGACTCCGACGAAACATCTAACACCGTGAAGTCGTGTGTCCTTGGCTCACTTATTTTTAAACGCATAGCACTCAAACACTCATGGCACTGAGACGGAAAGATCTTACGAGACAAGCCACCCTTCATGGGATAGACAGGAGGCCGGTTTTGTCGTTCTAGTTTTGTGCTTCAGTAAGTAACGGTGCATTTATGACATGTTACATAGAATAAAAACACTGGCCTTCACCTCAAGTTCATGCTTTGGATAAAGGAAAATAGATAGGCCTAAAATATGTCTGATTTTGTGGGTGGTGTTTTCCCCAGATTTTCAAGTTATGATTCATTTAATATTTATTTAACTTATGAAGAGGCGATTGATTAAAAAGTTACCTTTGCGCGGTTATTGCTTGGCCGGCCTGGCTATTATCAGCGTTTGTTCTCCTGAGCAAGGTCTTAAAATATAGCTGCAATGAATTTTTTCTGTACACAATTTTTCTGCATCTTTGTACTCTTCTCCGTTGTAAGAGAACCCTTTACACTCCTATTTAGTTACGTGCACTGAAAAGTGCATTTTTTAAACAATTAAAATTGTCCATGGAACTGAAGGCGCTGTTGCTGTGGCATCATCTGGGGAAGGCATGATTCAGTGCATATGTGTTTCTGTTCAAATTGTGAACCCAGAGTTTACTTCAAAAATCAACTCTCACGAGTTTTTCCGTGCGTTCCTGTACAACCCTGACGATGAGGTGGTGTGTGATCCTGCTCCGAGAACAGTGTTCTTGAGATGTGTTCCCGACATTCGAGCGCGAAAACATGGAACCCGCGCCAAGAACAAGCCACCCGAACTCGACCCATAATTAACTGCAGTGTCCCCACGCGCATGAACAAAAGAGATGCTCTTTGAATGCTTCCTCGTCAGCGAATGGGATCGCACTGCTAACCAAAATCACGCGCTCGTCAAGCTTTAGTAGGATAGGAATGCGCACCTGAGTGACTAGGACACAGCCGCAGCCAGTTACAGCGCCCTCAGTGACAAAAGATTCGATCTAATACCTTCCGAAATTTCTTTTTTTGTAAAGAAATTTTTTAAAACGCACGAAATCTGTCGACCCGTTCCAAACGCGCATTGGGTCGACAGATTTCGCGCATTGTGGTTTGCCAACGCGTTGCAAGCTCATGGAGGCGCACTCTTGTGAAACGCCAGTATTCCAAGCTACGCTGGAAGTCACTCAACCAATTCTTGGTAAAGAGTATGTATACCTATATTGGTCTAGGCACAGTCAGAGTGTTAGTGGGAAGCGAGCCGTCATGTGGCTTACGTCGTTGCATATAATTGGCCTACAATTTTCTCCAATGCCCTGAACGTGAGTTGTTTTTTTGGGGGGGAGGGGGGTTGCGATGTGGTATCAATCTATCCTTTTTCCTGCTAAGTTCCTTAAAAGTTTGTCCCTCTTTAAGTTTTGGAAATAAAAAATGTGAATGCAAAATAATTTTCTTTAAAAACACGGGTCCAAAATCATTTTATTAGTCAGATAAAAAATGATTATAGCTTGTTCACCACTTGATATAATGTTCTAGTCCTGGTTTGCACAGGCCTCTATCTTGCTTTTCTACCATTCAGAGCAATGTAACAAAACTGAGGATTGAAGGAAAAATAATCTGTTCCCTCCTATCAGTAGGTGAAGCTGTCTAATTAGTTTGCAACTATGTTCCACGGCAACTTCGAGAACGACGATTAATCCGCTAATTCGGTGAGGGCGCCCTCTGTATTATTTGCGCAAGGCGCTGGGAAGGGCAGATGCCTTTCAAGAAAAATTAATTGTGAAAGAAATACGTCACAGCTACAAACTCATTACTTGCTGTTCTGATTCCGTCATGTACACTCACCCAGTGTGCACGTATCACGCGCATGCCCACGCACACATATTGGCCCGGTGTATGTTTTTTTTTCTTTTTTTTTTTAAATAACACGCTGGTGGAATCCGACTTGAATAAACTTCATCATGAATTTGGGGATTTTTCCAAAAGAAAGTATAGTCCAGCATTTCAACAGCGGAAGCCGCCACGAGCATGAAGACTAGTCTCCTCTCATGAAAGATTTCCCAAAGAAAAGTACATGGTGCAGCAGGGCCAGCTGTGTTTAAAAAAATTACGCGGCTCTGGTTCAAAATTAATGAACTCTATCCAATGAGTTCCCGTCAAAATTACGGGCAATTCCAAATAGTGCGCAGCCAAGAGTTCGCAACGCGCTAACCAATCACAATGTGCGAAATCTGTATAGCCAAAGCGCGCTTAGACAGGGTCGACCGATTTCGCTTGTTGTGATTGGCCGACGCGTTGCAAACTCTTGGAGGTTATGCATTCCGAAATAGGGCTTTGGAATGAGCAAAGTACAGTTTCACTTCGTCGAGACGAATTAAGGGTGTGCTTTCGTCTGAGTCCGAAATTTCACATAATGCAGTGACAAGTAGTCCGAGCGTTTTTTGCCCCATGACCCCCGAACTGGACCAAGAGAGGGAGTAAGTTTCTTAGCAAAGGAGGCTCGTAAGGTCGGAACTGCACTTCGTTGGTTCACAAATGACTATGAAATGCACACGTTACGGTCGCGTCGCTACCAGCAAAAGGAACACTACCAACTAGCATGGCTTTTTTCAACCGATGAAGGAGTGCTTCTGCTCGAAGTGTATATAAATCGTAATAATAATTTTAATAAAAGACTTACAGCGTACGAAAAGCAAAGACCCTTCGCGCCTTTGTTAGGTAGGTTTGTATACGCGATCATATGATTACTACACTGGAACCCATTCCAGTGACAGTAACTTCTCAAACTCCATGCGCAAAGATTCCAGCGTATCCCATCGACCAAAGCGACCAACCGGCGTGAGATGCGTGGGTGCGTCGCGTCTGGACCAGACAATAAAGAACTGCACATTATCTAATCGGAGAATGGAAAGGGGCAGTCTATGGCCAGTGCCAGCATTCACAAGGGCCAAGCTATTGCCCCTCTCGCTCCCATGTTCACCCCAACCGGTGGGTGGTGCCTTTGGACCCTTCTCTTGTCTGGCACTCCCGATGGACATTCACAATCGATACGAGCGCGTTCCGCTAATCCGTTTCGTGGGGGACAGAAGATCTGATGAGAACTCTAATTCTCGCTTATGAATTATAATCCTCGACGGCACGCGACGAGACAAAGGGCCCGTGAGGGGGTCGTACCCAGCTATTGGTTTTTACAGAGCCATTATTGACGAAAGGATGAGCTGGCAGATAAAGCCCTCATCTCTTACTGTTTTGTGTTATGCTGGTATATCGACTAGGCCAACTTCTGTGGAGATAAGAATGGAAATTCGATTTACTTTTCCGCTATATTCAGAGTGGCAGACCCCCACGGAACAGAATTGTCAACGAGATGAAGCGTTTAGGCACTAAAAACTGCACATGTCTTAAGTAAACAAACTTGAGCCAGGTGAAATGAGTCTTGTCGCATAAAAGCCATCTTACTCCAAAACGACAATGGAGACTGTAAATAAAGATACGATAATTTTTTCAGAAGTTTAAGTTTTCCCCAGTCAAAACTGCATCGGTCGCGAAGGTATCCTGAATCATTGACAGTGTCCTAAAGAACGAATTAATTGTTGCAAAAAGCCTCGCGCCAGAAGCTATTTTGTTCCGGTTCCTCCCGGATCCTAAGTTGGCACCTGTCAATTTTACACAACCATGAGTGTCCCGAGACGGTTAATGGAAACCTGGCAGCCACCTGTGACTTGGGAAATCGTGTTTATTGTCAGTGATGTCTGGAGACACTTTTGTAATTTCAAAGAAAGGGCTGTCCAATTATAGCACCATCATAGCGCTGTCAACTTACACCCCCACGCGTCATGGACTCAATCGATGTTTGTCATGTTCCCGGACCTTCAATTTGCTAGGTCGGGTCAGTATCCCCGCCCCCGCATGGGTTCCATCGGCACCAGATACGTTGTCTCAGTAAGCATCAAGAATTCTGTTACTTCAAGCTGAGATGGCTCCGGACTTGCACCAAACACATTGTGAAACCAAGT